ATTGCAAAGAAAAAACTCATTCGAAACATACACGTAGCGCACTTCTTTACATTTACTTTAACATTACATACATCTATATATATCTTTATTTTAACTTAAAGAAGTTCCTATAACGAAGAATAAAATTTGCAAAATCAAATTTCGCCTATAGTATTTCGAAAAATCTAGATATGTTTTATTATTAAAAAAAAAAAGAAAAAAATAACACCTCGTTCTTCTAAATTTCCACCGTGGTTTTCGTCTGATATTAAGCGTAATATTGGATTAAAAAATTATTATAGGCAAAAATGGGTGAAATCAAGAAATACAGGGTGACTGCGAAATAAGTGCAAATATTTTAACCACGGCATCCCCCACCCTAGTAGAGCCGAAATATAGAAAAAACAAATTAAAAATCGAATGGGGCAAAACCCCCATGAACCACCCTCGATACGAAGGCACTGAGCCACCTTGTAAACAGAGTTGGAAAAACGTTCGAATAAAAACGACCTAAACACTTTCAGTTTCAATTAAAAATAAAACCGACTTTTTGCTGCTTATCATTCGTTCATTCATTTACTCATTCATCGTTAAAGGTCAGTGTGAAAATTTTTTGGTAATTTTGATTCTGACGGATGTTTGGTCCTTGTCACAACGATTTTACATTGTTTATTGGAACAGAAATAAGAGCAACTTAGAATGCTACTACCTTTTTACAAGACATGTTGAAAATGTTGTCCTTGACTAGCAATACAGGCGTCAGAGCGTCGCAAGAGGTTTGTTGATAGGTAAAAAACACCGGAGTAGCGGCTGCCACTTTCACTTGTTGAAACTCTTCGATAATTTCTGGACACTGTTGATTTCCACAAACGAACTGTTTCATCCAACTGATACACATTTATCGAAAACCGTCTCTTGAAATCGACTTGTTGACGAGTATGTGGAGTTCCATCGGACAAAAAGTGAGTTACACAACGTGGACAATCAGCGGGCTCCAAACCCTGTACTTTGTCAACATGGTATGGATGTGGCCGTATTCTTTTAATGTAGGATGCACTACAAGCTTTGAAAATCCAACTTCTTCTTTCTGTCCTATCACGGCCACGATCGTGAGTTTGAAGTTGAAGGTACCATGATCTCGGAGTTGTTGTACCATTGATGCAAATGTTCACGCACACCAATTACCATTTCGACACAATCTGCATGGGAAAACTCCACCATAAACCGATTTCACCGACCGCTCGATGCTAACTGGCCCTTTTCGTGTTTTTCACGTTGCGATTAAAAAAGTACCTGATAAAGTAACTTTTTTGGTTCTTAATCCGACTCGCTCTGTTCCATTCATTGTTGTAATTATGTAGGTCACAAAACAGTCCAGCGGCGCGTACAACAATTTACATTTAATTTCAAATAATTTTTTCTAGACACTGCTACTACTTAGGACCGTGAATTTTACCCAGTGACATAATCATATTGTGAGCTATTCCCCATTTTTTTTTTGCATGTATTTCGCAATCACCTTGTATTGTGTATCTCATTGAATTTAAAAGGTTAAGATCCCTAACCAAATTGCAATTATCCAATGCATATAAAAATTATATTGTGAATATTGAAGAAAATCTAAAGTCCAGTCTTTCCGATTTATGGAGTTTTTTACGCCACAAGAAAAATACATCTAGAATCCCTACTCGTTGAACAGATAATAATGAATATTCCGATCCGCAAGAAATTATTAATGCTTTTGCAAAAAATTTTGAAAACATGCTTTTGCCTAGTGTGTCTACATTTGCGGGCACAACTGCTACTAGTTTACTAGGCTGTACTAATTCCTTTACTGTAAAGCCTGTAACTCAGGAAGAACTCATTGTGATCATGTCTAAGTTTCCATTCAAGTTAACAGCCGGTGATGACCTAATACCAAGTCTTCTGGTGCATGACTGCAAGTCTGTATTTGCTAAACCCCTAGCTCTAATAAACAATTTATCCTTAAATTAGGAATTTTTCCTGACCAATGGAAGAAAGCTCGAGTAACACCAATCTTTAAAAAAGGAGATCCAAATAACCTGCAGAACTATCGACCGATCTCCATTCTATCAAACTTTTCTAAGGTCATGGAACAAGTATTATATAAATCTATTTATGGTAATGTGAAATCTTATCTTTCTCCTAAACAACATGGGTTTATAAATGGCAGATCTACTATCACGAATCTATCAGTCATTACTCACGACTTATCGGTAGCCCTAGATAACAAAACACAGGTAGACGTAATATACGTTGACTTTTCTAAAGCGTTTGATTCGATCTCACATGACATTTTACTTCATAAACTTAGCCAATTTGGATGCTTAGACCCTCTCCTGCAACTGTTTACGTCATATTTGTCGAATAGAATCAACTATGTATTCTACAATGGTTATTGTTCTTATGAATTTGTCTCAAGATCTTTAGTTCCGCATGGGTCAAACTTAGGACCGCTACTACGTTGCGGATGATATTAAGTTATATTCAACCATAACATCTGCTGGAGATATTCATAGTTTACAAACCAATTTAGATACTTTAATGAATTGGAGCTATTCTAACCATCTCATCTTAAACATAGCTAAATGTTATCTTATCTCCTTTACACGTAATAATAATCAGATTGATTCGTCCTACTCCATTGGTTCAACACCGCTAATGAGGAAAAACAGCATTAAAGACTTAGGAGTCATTTTTGATTCTAAGCAGCTTACGTTTAATCTCCACTTCCAAGAAACTGATAACGCTGCTAACAAAATGCTGGGATTTATTATGAGGATCTCCAAATATTTTAACAGTATATTGATGCCATTAAATCTCTTTTTTTCTCATATGTGCTCAGTAAAATGGAATACGCTTCCTTAGTATGGTACCCACTTTACATCACGTAATATATGGTCCTAGACAAGATTCACCGAAAATTTTTAAAATATCTGTCTTATAAACTCGACGGAATTTACACTTCGAGAGGAATCCCTATGGACAGTCTGCTAATCCGACACAACATGACGTCTCTTTCTGCAAGGAGGGACGTTAACTGTGCCAATTTCTTGGTGAAATTAATTTCCAACAAAATTGATTGTTCCTATATTCTATCAACCATCGGGTTTAATGTGCCAAGATTGTCGTCAAGACATGTCAACACCTTCTACATTCCTCCGTCAAGAACTAACGTTTTCCACCACTCTCCATCAAGAACTATGTGTATTTGTTTTAATAAACTTATAGTGGAAGACATCTTTATGAGCCATCGTTAAATGTATTTTTCTTCTGCCTTGCTATGGTTATATATAAATTTTTTTTCTATTTTTGTAGTTATTGTAGTTTTTCTTATTGAAATATGTATTAAGTTTTCTGTTTTTAATATTCTTAATTATTATTGTTGTCCTGTTATTAGGTTATCCTGTTGGACAATAAAGGATTTATTTATTTATTTATTATATTTCAAGGGCGAGGGAGCTTAAGGCGAAATAACCTTCGATCATTTTTTTCCTTTTTCTAGAAATTGTATTTTTTTTTATTTCGGGGAGTTTTTTCGTAGTTGGTACGACAGATGACAGAATGAAATATTTGACGCATTATTTGAAGTTTAAATTGTCACATAATAAATAATTTATTAACAATGTGTGAAGCCGAAAACAATAGGTATATCTTACGCCCACTGAAATACGAATAATTGTCCAAAGTAGCACTCAGAGTTTTTTACCGAATAAATCTTGTTTGGGTACAAAAAGTAGTTTTTATTTTTTTCACGTATGTTATATGACAGTGACATCTGCAATGACTATAAATCTTGAAATCATAAATTATACCAGCTCCATTACGAAAGATGTACAAAACTCAATTTAGATATTAAATTACAATTTGGGTTCGGTTGTGAACACAAAGTCGAAGAAAATTATTAAACAACATTTGCATTTTTAGTTTTTGAAACCTGGCATAAACACGTAGGTATAGGTACTGCTGCAGACATTTTTTATTCTTCATCAAAATTACAATTCAAGTTTCGAAATTTCGATCACCTACGAGGATATACATGATTTAAAAGCAATTTGGTGTGCCGCTTTAGAATATTGGACACTATTATGCATTTCTACAGCTTCATCGTAATATGTTTATGTTAAAAATATGGTGTTTTTTTAAGTATTTATAATTTTGAAATTTGAACGTTTTGAATTTTTCACATTAGTCACGCGTGATGTCGATTAAGTAGTATAAAAGTTGTCGGCCAGCACGTATGTTAGACAATTTTACGCCACTGTCTCTGTTTAAATTTACAAAAGTATTAACATTTATGAAAAATCTAGCGTTCTGAACACAACAAATTTGCTGAAAACCACTACGTAAAAAAAAACAAGTATACACTGAAATACTGAAGCTTGAAAAGAAGCAGCCGAAGCTACGCTGTCAAGTGCCGGGTACAGTTTTGCAGCGCGCCGAGAGATGTCATTGGAAGGGTATAATTCTGATAATATTTTTTGTATGTAATCCCTAAATAATTTTAAAGCAATAAACTATTTTTTGTTTTCGTTCGTTTAAAGAAAAATCAATGAGAACAAACTACATACTTACTACATTTTATTATTATTACTATTAATCAATTATTATAATAACGCAATTAATTGAATGATAGAACTCTGAAATATGGAATTGCAAATTAACACTAAAGAGGCTATAAAATCAAAGTCAGAATTATCGTGAGAGTTACTCTCAAGGGAATACGTATCTTTATTATATGTAAGTTATTATTTCATGTTATTTTGACTTGCAATTGTATTATTGGTTGTATAACTACATAATGAAATTCGCCACTTCAGTTCTACCAAATTTAATCTTGGTTTCGTTTTATTAGTGGTGTAAAGACTAAAGAAATAGACGGATATATTTTTTTCTTTAAAATAAATGCTTCAACGAAATTAGTAGAACTATGCAGGATTGCACCACTTTTAGTTACAATTACATCACGAAAAAACATTTACGTTTTAATAAATAGTAACTAAATAAATAATTATTTATTTACAGTTATTTAGAATTAACAATAAAAACTTGTGTATACTTGTTTTTTGTTACATAATTATAAAAATATTTTAATTTAAATATCTATTATAACATATACTTCAAACTGCTTATTTTTAGGTTCATTTACTATTTGCATGGCAGAGTATGTGATAGCTTTAACTTCCGTTCCTTGTGGATGTTTTCCTAACGTGAACTCTTCCCCATAACATGAACATGTAATTGATAGTTCTTCACCGTCAGTAATAAATTCTGTAATTACCAGTTTGTTGCATATTAAGAAGGGTTCACAACTAAATAGAAATAACAGTTCATCTAAAAAGTGAAAGAGTAAACTCTCCATATCATGCCCAGTTGCCTTGATTTCTGAACGTTGTTGTATTTCTACGGTTGGAAGCTCAGTCATGTATCCAAACATGGCAAGTCCACATTGTTCAAATGCTTCTTGTAAACTATCACCCCATGCGTGTAGCCTAAGAATAAAATATTTTATTGGTGATATCAGTGATCTTAAGAAGAAAATGCTTACTGAACGTCTGCGGTGTGGTCCAAGTCTGAAACAAATAATGGGATAATGAAATAAAATTACGTGTACGTAGAACATTCACTTACATTCATACTTGCAAGTAGGTAAAGTAAGTTCTTCTTCAGTAAATGTCTGTTCCATCTTTAACTAGTTTTAAGATAAACTAAAAACACATAACCTTAAAATGATCAGCATGACACATCCACGACACAGTTGATAGAGTAACCGAGTAACCAGAGAACAGTCTGTGCCAGAGAAGTAACTTTCAACACGAAAGGGTACAGGTGGTGGGAGTGCGTAGAACATTGTTTTGGTTTGGCCTTACAAATATCAGAGAACATAGAGAAGCGACATAGAGGCTGATTTTGCAAAACCACCCTTATTGACACTGGAGTCCTCAACTGCCAAAGGCAAGCGCCAAATTTAAATAGTCGACGCCCATAAAAACCTTGTTTCACTATAATTGTAATTCGTGTGACCTGAATGAAAGTCAAGGAAACAGTAAGCAGCTTGTAATATTCTGGTAAATTTAGTGTCAATTTGTCGGAAATAAAACGCGTCATTAAAAATATTATGACATTTCTTCTAGTTACTTTTATCCCTAGTTAGAAACAAACATTGCTACCAACATAAATTGAGGAGTCCGCAACCGTCATTTAATTTAAACTATGGCGCTTCTCTGTGTTCTCTGCAAATATCGTGCAAGCAGTGGCAGCGGCGATGAATATTTCGATTTTGAAATATTAAAATATTATCGCGGTTAATAAAAAATACATAACACTTTTCTATTTTATTAGCGTTGACATTATAGAAAAAGAATTTAAACAATTGTTAGTGTTGTATTTTATGTATGAATTGAATAAAAAAGTAAGTAAAAGAAGTAAAAAGGTAATTTTTAGTGAACAATAATAAGTGTTAAATTACGGTACAGTCGAAGCTCTAGTTATAAACGACAATTATGCTAGAATATGAACTGTGATTATTACTTCGACGTTAAAGACAGAAAACGTTAAGCCTTATTATAATCCGACTTTACGGTATCGATAAATTGTGCCAGAAAATTAAAAACTCAGTATAACTCAGCCGAGCCTCTCTTCTCAATGCATCGATGTTACGCCACTGATGGCCCGGCTACAAGTCGCGCAACTTAAGCCCCGACCCTGTACCCTTTCGTGGTGAAATTACTACCACAGAACACTCACTATACTATGCTAGAGCAGCTTTCAACACGAAAAGGTACAGGGGCGGGGCTTAAGATGCGCGACTTGTAGTCGGGCTAGCAGTGGCGTAACATCGATGTATTGAGAAGGGAGTTTCGGCTGAGTTACATTTCTTTCAAAAACAATTAAAAATAGAGCAATTCCCACAAAAGAATACAGACAACCATTTAATAAAAATAAATTTATTTGTTTGGTAAAAAAATAGACTTACGTAACAATAAATTATGATAATCTATCACACAAAATTTGGTATTTTTAATTATTAGACGAGTTTATAATGTGAGGGATTATAGCATGAGTAAAAAATTTCACGAATCCCTCATTATAAACCAGTATCATATACTATTTTATAGTCGACTAGTCTTAAAGCAACAGTTAAATCTTTAGATAAAAGCGGGCTTAAAAGTCTGAGAATAAGCAACCCACTGCCGGCTGTATTATATCCTGCCTGTTCATTTCCACAAAAATGCATTGAAAAAATTTTGCCGTCAGGGCGTGAGGGCAGCACTGGAGGGGCGCTTTTGACCTTGACAATTGTCAAACAAACTTCAAATTTGAAGTTTTATAAATAGGTTAAATCGGGTTAGGTTAAATGTTTTGAACAATTTATTAAACGGTTAAACGTTGAATCATACATCGTATCCTCTCTATGGTTGAAAATTACAACAAAAAGGACTAGCAAAGGTGAAATTTTGCAAAAGGCACTTCTCGATTTCCCATTAATTGTTTCCCCAAAGCAATTCTACATCACCCCCTGTTCACGTTCCGCACCTTCAAAAGTTGTACAACTGTTTTCTTCTGTTCCCGACATTACTCCTCGCGTGTTGGTGACTATAAAAAGTTAGGTTATATTGGAAACAGCTTTTCCCGTTAAAGAGTGTATGAATTGGGAAATTTAACATTTTTTTTTGTAGCAAAAGGAAACATTTGAAGGTGAGGAACGTGATTAGGGGGTGGTGTAGAAGAATTGTAACCAAACAGTTTGTGCGAAATCGAGAAGTGCCTTTTGTAAAATTTCACCCTAATTAGCGCTGGAAGAATATAAAAAAACAGACAGGTATGTTTATAATTTTAATACTTTTCTTGAATGGGGTTTTTGGGTCAAATTACTAAACAATGTAACATTTTCAGTTTTTGTATAACCAAAATTTGCAAAAATTGGTTTCAACACTTTAGACAATATTAAGTTCGCAACCATTACTTTGTGGTTTTTATCTTCACAAGGCAAAAAAGCTGAACTGGCAATTGGCTCTAATAACAAAGACTCCACCACAGTTCTTGGATGATGATTTACTGGTATGTGTTCCAAAATATCAAATGTAATTTTTATAATTTTATTTATAAAATTTGTGAATGATCTTGTGGGATATTTTAATTTTCCTCTGTCTTGCAGATATATCAAGTCAAGCAACGGGGTAGATTTTGCGGTGGTTAGTAATGAATCTAAACAATTTTTGCACTCTAACCTTTCTTCAATTGTTCTACAAATATATCCAGATAAAAACGCAACTGATGCAGAGTTGATATCTGTGAAAATGGTATTAACGAATGTTAATTTATGAAGGTCACTAATTTCTTCAATTATACTGTCAGGTATATGTATATTTGTTTCTGTTGTAGATCTTTCAGAAGACTGAATTTGACCAATTTTACTCAAGTGATTACAGTCAGAATATACATTTGCTGATTCTGAAGTTGTTACTAAACCTGACTTAATTATTCGTTTAATAGCATAGTGTGCAGCCCTGGCATCAGTAGCGTCCTGAGAACCACCGCATAATCGGACATTGCTAAACATCGATTCAACTGCATCTGAGCTAAATGCTCGCGTTAAGACATAGAAAAAGCCACTCTCTTCCAGTAAATACTTGATACATTCTGCAGTGCTTTTGGCAGTGAATTTTACTGCTTCTGCAGTCTCTTTAGTCAATCCCGTCATTTTATTTGCCTTTGAAGATAGTTGAATGGAATCTATATAAGCAGGTAAAGTTTTTAACATCCAGAGAAGGCGTTCATCATTAATATCTGTATATGGAGCACTATTTTCATTTAGTTGCCGGATGTGCTGAGTTTTGTCATTGACATCATGAATTTTAAAAAATTTGTGCATCATTTCCATAAACTTTAGAGTCTCTTCAACATCAACAAAACCTGGATTGTTATATTTTCCCAAATACTCTATTGCTGCTCTTACTTCTATGGAAAATACTTGCACAGCACGACGGACGTTCATCTTTTCTAAATTGGTTGGGCAAATATGCTTCCTGGTCAAAAACTTTACCGGTTTAACAATTAATTTGTGTTGCATATCATATATTTTCTTTAAAAAGTCGTGCAGAAATAATACCGTTACCAGAATGCATGTCATGGTACAAAAATATGTTCTTCAAATTTTTAATAATATGACAGTAATCAAAGCTCATAAATAATGGTATTGTTGGTTCTATTGGATGTTGAATATGAGTCATTAAATTATTATTTGATGACAGAGATTTGAAAAGGGCCACATTTGACTTATGGTTATCTGTCACAATTCTTAAAACTGTAAATCCACAATTATGTAAAAGTTTCATTACTTTTAACGTCAAATTCACAAAATCTATGTTTTTTAGAGTTCGATGGAAGAAATATCCGGCGGGTATCGTGTACTTAGTAGTCATGCCGTGAACAACGTAACATAACATTTTGCTGGCCAACGTTGGTTTTTTTCCAATTGTTTGACTACTCTCATTGGTAGTCTCTAACCCATAGAATTTGTCTTCTGTGCGGCTGTAACACAGTTTTTCCTTGATGGAGATGTCGTCAACAATTAAACTACAAATCCTTTCAACGGGTTGTAGCACTTCGGCTTCTGCTTTCAAGCGTGCCTCTATAAGTCCTGTAACATCTTGTCCATTTCCTATATACCGTTTTAAAGTACTTCGACTAGGTAATTTCAATATAGAAGCTTTACCATAGTTGTATCCCTTTGGGGATGAAATCCTCCAAGCAATACATGATCTTACAGTTACTTCTGACCATCTAGATTTTTGTTTGTTGTAATTTAATATTTGGTCTAATAGAAATGTGGCTTTTGGGTCGTTATTCTTGGCATCAGCTTCAATTTTTTCGAATATACGGGCTTGATTCGTTTGATTGTCAATTTTTAATTGCAGTTTTTGTAGCTGTTGATTTTTCAGTTTGTTCTGTTTGTCCAAACGGTTTACTTTCATTTTCAGTTTTTTTATTTCAAGTTTAAGTTTTGATATATCATCAAGACGAAGATCAGTATTGGAACTTAATGTTTGGGATTCATTATATAAGGACTCAGGTTCAGAAGGAATTGTTGAGTGACTTAAATCAGGACTCGACAATTTAAAAAAATATAATTAAAATTTATTAACTGCCAATAAAATATTACTGGAGGTTCTTCTATCGATGTTGGACACGTGGATGTTGATTGGAAGGGAGGAGATAATCTTGGAGTAACAGTACTCTAAAATAAATAATTATTAGAGGAAAGTTCTAAAAAAAGTGTGAAAATAGGTAGGAACAGAAAAATAATTTTACTCCTGACTTTAAATTACGTTATTAATGTACTGTTCGCTTATATTTTCACAGTTGTAAGGATTGTAATTACAGGAATAATGGATGATGAGGGCTTGATATTTAAAGGAGTAGAAGACTGGGCAAGGGCAACGAAGGATTCGTGTGTGGATGCGTAATAAGCATCATCACCCTATAAAAACTATAATTTTATTTCTGTTCAGTTTAAAATGTAAATAAATATACATGAAAAACTGTTGGAACTGCATTTTTTTGCAAGCGTTTACTACCATTTGCTGCAAACTTAAAATCTGTGGGTTTAAAGTGCAAATTGCAAATGGTTGAGTACTGACTGACGATCTGCTGCGTTGGAGCTATAATAATTAATATTTAGTATTAAAAGAATAAATGTTCAATAAGCTTTTCTTACAACAAAACTTCTCTACTTTATGTAGCCATTTTTCTCTTAGGAGGGGCTCAGAGGGAAACTGATGGAAGGACTTTGAGTATTTGGCAGGGCACTGGGGCACAATGCATTTTTTGTGGAACCGCATTTTCGTCCCAGTAAAATTAACGTAACAACTTAAACTATGTAATAATAACGAACCACTAACTGAAGTTAAACGACCAAATAGGAACAAAACAACAAAAAACAAACACTAATTTAACTATGAAATAATAACGAAACACTAAACGAGTTGAAACGACAAAATGCGAACGAAACACCACAAAACAAATAAAAAAGGAACGAAAACTGCAA